GTGTTAATGTTGGTACATGTAATATGCTAATTCTGTACTGTGAAGATCATTAAGAGTCGTTATTGCGTGACAAAATCTTTCGCTAACGCTGTGTGTACCGCGAACCGGAAGTGTTGGGAGTGGCATCAAGTGCTGGACCGGATGTCCGTGGCATATAGGTTGTTACACACACACTTGTGCAGCTCTCTTCCTGCTCACGCTTGGCTCCTGCTCTGCTCGCGCAGCTCCTTCCCTCCTCTCAACTTTCCTTTTGCTTGCACAGCTTCCTCCCTCCCTCCCTCCCTCCCTCCTATCAACTTTCCCTCTGTTCGCTCACACCCCTGTCTCTGTGCGCTCAAACCAAGTTGTATGTAAATGAACCACACCACCAGCCAATCACAGACAGGTTTTTTTTTTTAATCCAGCGAGCKTGTCTTGCAAATCTGCTAAACCACATATGTCAAACACAAGGGAGCTTTCCAAGCCAAAAAAAAGGTCACTTCCTGTTGTCAGTAGCATCTTAACTATGTCAGTGCTGCACTGGATACAACTGATCATAATATTCTGTTGCAGAGGGTTGAACATGATATTGGGATTACAGGAATGGCACTAATTTGTTTTAATCATATTTATCTGACAGATTCCTATTTGCTCAAGTTAATATAGGGCTGAAACAATTCCTCGAAAAATTTGAGCAAGTTGATTACTAAAAATCTTTGAGGCAAATTATCAGCCTCAAAGTTTTGTTGCCTTATGACCTGTCACCGAGGCAGGGGACAAAGAAATGCTCTCTGCCCATCGATCTATTTGTCCAATTTAAGAAAGCTGTAACTTTCACATAGAAAAGGGTAAAATACACCAAACTTGGTATTTTTGTCCTCTGTAGGCCTGTCTTGACTGGTTTTTGGATGTTTTGAGTGTTTTTTGGCCTCCCTAAACCCCCTTTTACTGGTTTTAGGTGGTTTTTAAGGGACTCTTGATCCTTTTTTTCATTGTTTTTGATGGTAATTGAAGGTTTTAAGTGGTTTGCGGACCTCTTAGGCCCCTTTTACCCGTTTTTGTTGGTTTTTGGAGGTTTTGAGGGATATTTGGCTTTCCCAGGCTCCTTTTACATGGTTTTTGATATTTTTGGAGGTTTTCAGTGGTTTTCGGCCGTCATTCCCCTTTTGACTGGTCTTTCGTGGTTTATCAAAATTTTGAAAGGTTTTTGGGGAGGCTGTGGCAACGTGGTTAGGATAGTCATCCTGGTCGCTAGTTCGATCCCCCCCATCCAACTATCTCAGTTGTGTCCTTGGGCAAGACACTTCACCCCTAATGCCTCTGATGTATCATCAGTGTATGAATGTGATTGGCACTGATTAGTCTCCATAGATGATTGTACATGTTAGCTTTGTAGAGACATAATAAAGTGTTGTGTGAATGGGTAAATGAGGACACAGATTGTAGTGTGAAGTGCTTTGAGTGTCTTGGATGGATAGAAAGGCGCTATATAAGTACAGTGCATTTATCATTAACCATTTTTGGCCATTCTAGGCCCCTTTCACCTGGTGTTGTTTTATTGAAAGTTTTATGCCTTCCTAGGCCTCTTATGCCTGGTTTAAGCTTGTTTCCAGTACTTTTTGCCCATTTTGAGTTGTTTCATTTTTTCTTTCTTGTTTTTTGGCTTAAAATGCCTCAAAAAATAATMTCATACAGACCGCAGCATCTTTCAACTCTTGWGGAGAGAGCTGTTGTTCCTCAGCTGCAGAGTTTCCCYTCCGGTTCGYGTCTTGTTTGACTGAAGTTRGGAGCTGTCACTCCAAGTTCGGATCCGGTTCAACAGGAGCTGCTTGTTAAATTATCACAATGAAGAGCTGATCACTGACATGCAGATGTCAATCACTGCCCAGATGTGCTGCRGTTTTTTTCTCCTCCTGCTGTCTGCCGGTGTCGCTCCGGTGAATAAACACATTCTTGTTTACCTGTTTCTGCTGGACGTACAGTGGACTGACTTCACCTTTCCGCCTTTTATTCTTCCATGAACACTGTGGCAATGATCTATAGGTCTAATAATAATAGATCATTGGACTGTAAGGCTGTGTATGTGTGTGTGTGTCTGTGTGTTTTAGTATTGATCAAAACTACGTGACAAAGAAACTTTTTAGTTTGTTTAAAACAATACTGAACCACAAAGAGGATCTATGACTAATTTAATTCAGTTTGTTTTATGACTGATAAGAGGCAGATGTCCAACGAGCAGTGTTGTTTTTGACTGCCATTTTAATTTTAGTCTTATTCTTTTGAACAAAAATACTTCTTAGTTTTAGTCAGTTTTAGTTATTTCTATATTTAAGGGTTTTAGTCCAGTTTTAGTCGATGAAAACTTAAAAAAAATGTTTAGTTTTAGTCTTAAAAAAGACAACATATTCGTCTTTACAAATTAATTTGAGTAATTTGTGTTAACATTTGTGAATTTGTGTAATTTGTGTTGCTCTTAAAATGCTCAAAACAAAAACATTCTCACTTTGTGGATTTATTTCTCAGAATTTGCCAAAGTGCAATGAACATACACAATACACATGTCCAATATTATAAGCAATAAAGGGGAACACACATGTTCAACTCAAACTTGTCAGCCAGGACCATGAAGATGCATCTTATTTATAAAAACGGACATCATGCAGTCCTAAACTTAGTAAACTATTAAACTTGTGCAAACGAGTGTTTACATGCACCCGGCTTTTATTCTGAAAAGAAGCACTGACGTGCAGTTGCTAACTCTCCCCGCAAAAAATAAAAATAAAAATAAAAATCCAGAAAAGAGTTTTACTTTCGTCATAAACGTAAACAAACAGCTTCTGAGCTCAGAA